TCCCCATATGATGCATTCTCCTGAAGCCAGCCTGGCACAAGGTCCATTGTTGGGGCTCCTTGTCAGGATTTTTATTGCTTTTCAGACTCTGATGCCAGTGCAGACTGAAGATGATGGGAGCCGGTTGGAGACCCCTATGGACATCCCCAAAGAGCTCTGGATGATGGTTGATTACTTGTACCGAAATGCTGTCCAGCAAGTAGGTTGTGATTAAGCAATCAGACCTGATTGCGGCCAGGCTGCCTTGAGAAAGACCATCAGCCCCAGGAACATTTTGCATTGAAAACTTTTACCCTAAGGAACCTATGGGGTACAGTTCTCCCCCCAAGGTGGGAATGAGGGACAGAATGCCCTGTTTCACACACTGTGAGGCCCTGCTATCACATTACTTGATTAGCCCCAGGGGAAGCAGCCTTGCATAGGATTGCTTTCCCAGCATAGCAAGTTCCCTCCCCTGGCCTCTGGAGGCCTCAGGGTATCATCTGCTCTCTGTCGCAGGAACTCTCACCAGCTTCTGGGAATGGGAGGGGCTAACTTGTTAACAAGCCAGGTGGAAGCAGGGGGCCAGATGAAACCCCTGAGCCATGAATTTGGAAGCCTGATTTCTAGAGTGACTTAGGCAAGCTTCATGGGGACAGATTGATCATTTTCACTGACCTGTTTCTGTAGGTTCCAGGGAGACCAATACAAACTATAGTCCTATAGCTTTACCACTTGAGAGCAACATACATTCTTTTTTGTTTGTTTGTTTTAAGACAGGGTGGAGTTCAGTGGTGTCATCATAGCTCACAGCAACCTCTAACTCCCGGACTCAAGTGATCTTCCTGCCTCAGCCTCCCGAGTACTTGGGACTACAGGCGTGCACCACAACGCCTAGCTTATTTTTTCTATTTTTGGTAGAGATGGGGTCTCGCTCTTGCGCAGGCTGGTCTCAAACTCCTAACCTCAATCCATCCTCCTGCCTTGGCCTCCCAGAGTGCTAGGATTACAGGCATGAGCCACTGTGCTTGGTCCTTTCTTTCTTTCTTTCTTTTTTTGTTTTTTAAAATTTATTCTTCAATTTGAGATGGGATTTCACTATATTGCCCAGGCTAGTCTTAACCTCCTGAACTCAAGCGATACTCCTGCCTCAGCCTCCTGAGTAGCTGGGACTATAGGCACATGTCACTGTGCCCATCCTTTTTTTTTTAAACATACATTCTTATGTTCTGTTTTCAGTTTTTTTACCCACATTTATTAACTGTTGCAATCTACCAAGCACTTTTTTTTTTGTAAAAGATAGGATCTCAACTCTTGGCCCCCAGGCTAGAGTGTAGTGGCATGGTCATAGCTCAAGGCAGCCTTGAACTCCTGGGCTCAAGAGGTCCTCCTATCTCAGCCTCCCAAGTAGCTGGGACTACAGGCATGGGCCACCATACGTGGCTAATTTTTCTTATTTTTGTAGACACAGGGTCTCACTATGTTGCCCAGGCTAGCCTCATACTCCTGGCCTCAGGCAGTCCTCCCACTTGGCCTCCCAAAGTGGTAGGATTATAAGCATGAGCTACCTCGGCCCTAAGCACTATTCTAAGTGTTTTACAGCATTGCCTCATTTAGTTTTCACAGTACCTCCCAGATGAGGAAACAGATACCCAGAAAGGTAAATAACTTTGTCAAGGTCCCAAAGCTGATAAATGAGCAGAGGTGAAATTTGAACCCAGTAAATCTGGCCATAGAAGTCACATTCTTAAGTACTATACTGTTCTACCTTCTTTGTAGAGCTCCTTTCAAATGTATTAATAACTTTTGATGCTTGAGCCCAGGAATTTGAGGTTGCAGTGAACTGTGATGATGCTACTGTACTCTAGCCTGGGAGACTAAGACTCTGTCTTAAAAAAAAAAAAAAAAAGTAACTTTTGAGTAATACATATAATATTGTTATTATT